GTATGTATGTATGTATGTACGTAACTACAATATCATTAGCTATACTGCGTTCCAGGAGTCTGTGAAGAGTCCAACCACCACAGGAGGGAAGATGGACAAGCTTTGAAGAATCGGCGACAACTCGGTACGGTCTCCCCTGGCAAATTCGAAGCACTCGCGAACCGTTTGACTCACGAGTGTTACCTTTGCCTCGAGCGTTTTGTTGAGCATGCAGACGTTGGTCAACATGGACCCAGCCCATACAACCTGATAGCCAGCTTTCAAACCTTGCACCAAAGGCTCACAGCAAGTCCTCGCGCTTTGCCTTCGTCGAGCTTGCGCCAAGATGCGCAACCAACCTGCGGAGATGTAGGCTGGCCAGACCACTGCCAAAATCAGCTTTGAGAGTGCTACCAAAACCACCACCAGCAACATGGCACATACAAGGCAACCCACTGCACTCAGCCATGTGAGGAAGATGAGGGGGAACCACCACCACAACCAGCTACCCCCTTGCTCGTGCCATTCCAGCTCTACGATTAAGCCTGCTGCACCGAAGTCATTCGTGCTGAACTCCGCGTCTTCGCGAAGCTCGCAGATGGTAAAGCCGGCATCGTACAGATCACCGGCGCGCGCACCCAGGTCCTTCAGATCCTTCGCAGAGTAACCCTCGGAGCGGAGCTGGGAAACGGATCGAGGTTCCCGGCTTTCCCCCACTGGGACGACAGCGGACGTGGCACAGCAACAACAGAAAGGTCGGCACCCACAACGGACCAGGATCAGCCAACGGCACAAAGACTCGTAGACAAAGCGGAGCACGACGGAAAGAATCACCAGCGGTGACTTCAGGATCGTCAAAGCAAAGGCTAGCACGCCGAAGCTGCAGCAGCTTAGGATGCCAATCAGCAAGCCGCAAAGAAGCTCCCAGCAGGTGATATCTTCCACTGAGCTGTTGCGTCTTTGCATCTGAGACGTCTTGGCCCTCTCCTGCTCCATCACGTTCTCCATGACTTCCCACAGCTGCATGAGTGCAAAAAGCCCCAAAGCCGCCGGTCCAAAAGTTGAGACGACGAGCACTGCAAAGCCCAGAATCAGCCAGATCAAGGCCAGCAAGAGAGCCGCAAGCAACGGGTAGAGGGGGAGGGAAAGGCCCAGAATGAAGAAGGTGGTCATGCACTTCCGGGCAGGGCCCTCCTCGGCCAAGACCCAAACCATCCTCAAGACAGCATAGAGCGTCGGGAGGAAGAGCAGCAAAGCCACGGCGTAGCTGACGGTAAAGCCGGTCATAACATGGTTGGGTAGAGCAGAGTTGGCTTCTTCCTGGGCTGTCGCTGGGATGAGGGCGACTGTTTCTAGATGAACTTGAACGTACTTGGATCCGGAAAACCTACCCTTGTAGGAATTTTCCAATATACTTCTTACAGAGGCTAGGCTTTTGTGGGCTTCGTGTTAGCAACACTGAACCAAAACCCTAGCTCAAAATTCTAGACCCAATCCTAAATCCTAAATGCCCACCACTAGCACTGAATCCCGAACCCCTCAACCCCTACAGTCTAACCCTTGTAGTAGCCCTGTAAATTGGGCCCTCAACGGAACCTGAAAGGCCCGCTTAACCCTTAAGGACGAAATGAACCTCAAAAGGCTTTCAGGTTCATATACCATATAGGGATGCATAGTATAAGGGTATAGGGCCCCTACCCTAAACCCTAAACCCTAAACCCTAAACCCTAAACCCCTAAACCCTAAACCCTAAACCGGTATAGGGCCCCTACTTATAAGGGTCATTTGGTCCCCAAGGCAGGCCCAGCTTCAAGCCAGACAGCCAAGTTCTGGAAACGAGCGACGCAGAAGTCGACGGATTGCAAGCCGGTAATCCCCATGGCTGGCGACCCTTACTGTATAACGGTATAGGGTTTAGAGTTTAGGGGTTTAGGGTTTAGGGTTCTATAGTCCTCACGGCCCTTACAGTAAGCCTTACTAATAAGCCTTGTGGCAGCCCTTTTAGTAGCCCTGGTAGTTTTCAAGGTTCAGAAGATCGGTCAAAATCCTCGCTATCTCGAGCCCGCCAATGCTCACATGCGATTGTCTTTACACATATGCCAATCCTGGTATAAAAATAACTTCCCTTACGAAAAACACTCCCCTACGGCCCCAGGAGAAGCAAACTCCTAAATCCCAAATCCCTAAAGGCTAAAACCCGAAAACCCTAAACCCTGAATGGTCGGTTCTTGCTCTAAGCACTGGCGGATCGAATCTCTGAGGCGGCCTTTCATCTCCAAGACCTCTCCTGGGCTGTGAAGTAGCCAGGGAGAAAAAAGTATAGACTTTTATTTCATAATGGTTCCTTTAAGGAACAGGTCCCGCCCCAAAAAAACACTTTTATGTCATGAGGGTTCCTTTTGGGAACAGGTCCCAAAAAAAAAAGTATAGACGTTTATGTCGTAAGGGTTCCTTTTGGGAACAGGGCCCCAAAAAGAAGTAGTAAAGCTTGATACTCCAAAGCCCAGTCTCGGATGGAGTAGCCAAGTCTGCGAACCTGCCAGGCTGGATTTAGGGTTTATAGGGCTTATAGGCTTTATAGGGTTTAGGGGTTTAGGGGTTTAGGGCTTCTAGGGTTTATAGGGTTTACAGGGTTTATAGGGTTTAGGGGTTTGGGTTTAGGGTTTAGGGGTTTGGGTTTAGGGTTAAGGGTTTAGGGCTTAGGATGGCAAGGCGATACGATCGTTATTTCGTGCAGTTACTTGCTGCGGCTGCAAGTATTGCGTTGCATGTGTCTATGTCTCTGGTAGGTCTCCGTATATCTCTGTGTGTCTCTGTGTTTTGCTGCGTGGGGGTCGGGCATCGGACCGCGGCATCGGATGCATTGCGACTGGGATCTGTCGTTGGGCTTCAGAAGCTTTGGGGCATGGGGATCAGGGTTTCGGGCTAGGGGTTTAAGGGTTCAGGGTTTAGGGTTTAAGGCTTTAGGGTTTAAGGGTTTAGGGTATAAGGGGTTAGGGTTAAGGGTTTCAGGGTTTAGGGTTTAGGGTTCAGGGTTTAAGGGTTTAGGGTTTGAGGGCTTTAGGGTTCAAGGGTTGAGGGGTCTGTTTACACAGACTCTAGCTGCAGGGTCAATACCAGCCCAAACAGTAAGCAGTAAAGTCTTTTTGATACGTAGGGGCCTTAATAACACTAACAGTAACAATTATGGTAGTAATAATAACAAAAACAGATTAATAATAACCATAATATCTATAATAGGATTTGGGGTGTGATCGGACAAGAAGTCCGTTCGGGCAAACCAAAATAGAGGGCCTGTGCCGCACTTGGGACTTTCAAACAATATAGGTCTGGAAATCAGCTTTTAGAGATAATACGGGAGGCCAAGCATCAAGTACAGCGAGTGAGATTTCGGTGACAGCTGGACACTTTCGGCCTAGATTTGTCGGTGCAGTCGAACAGAATAGGGTCTTGTGGTTTATTTTTTCAAAAACTACAATAAGGAACACCCAAAACAGCATTGGTAATTATGAATTATTAAGGCCCCTTTCTTAAAGCCGTCAACCTTCAAACCCTGTATATTATACTGTATCTGCAATTATATTTACTAACCACCAAACTAATATTGGTAATTTTTTTGGGCCCCTGTATTACACCCTAAACCCTGAACCCTACGCCCTAAATGCTAAATCCTAAACCCCAAATCCTAAACCCCAAATCCTAAACCCTAAATCCTAAACCCTAAATCCTAAACGCAAAAAGAATGAACGCCAAGCCTGAAGCCGGGACCGTCTCTTGCAAATACCGAAACGCCGAGTTGAAGTGGGGTCTGATGGTTTAGGGTTTAGGGTTTTAGGATTTAGGGTTTTAGGGTTTAGGGCTTTACAGGTTTAGGGGTTTAGGGATTTACAGGTTTAGGGTTTAGGGGT